ATGAAACTAATGAGTTTAGTGATGGCAACTAACCTTTGTGGAAAGATTGCATAAAGACATTCACTAGGGAAAATACTCTAAAGAAAATGTCTTTTTTCCCATTTTTCTAGTAATTGTTACTTAGTGACATAAGTATTAAAGATTATATCATACTATCCAGTGCTCACACAAATATCATAAACTGTCTTGTCATCAGCTGCTCTCTTTATTACAAGCGCTACATATGAAATGTTCTAATAGTTTACTTTCATGTAAGGAAAAAACATAGGCTGCAATCCTCTAAAAACTTACCTCTGAGTATTTTTCATTGTAAATGATGAGAGTTGCTTCTGAGTACACATGTATAGTACTGAAGTATACCAGAGGTCTGTGGGACTGTAGACTGCATGCTAGTATAGATCTTTTTACAAATTATAAGATGTGTCTTATAATAATAAACATGTCTGAATTTAAATACTCTCTGTTGATTCATTTCTCTTTGTATGTAACACTGACTTGCATTCACTGAGGCACATTTACAGCCATGAAACTCACAGTTTTACAATATATAAGGATAGAAGAGTCACAATTTCATCTAAGAGTAAGCATCACTGAACCTTGCAGGTTACACTTCTGAAAAGAATTGTACAGGATTGGATTGTTAACCAGTAAGTTCTTGGGCTAAAAATTGCACTAAGTTTCATACTGGAGCTATGTCTGCATGACAGCCATGCTCACAATCATTTTGTCACAGAACCATTGAACATTTTATATAGAAAAGCTATATACAGTACATGGATTAGAGGTAACTATATAGATTGTATGGCTTACTTACTGGATTGGATCCCTATTTGAAGGAGTTCACCGGAAACTTGAGCATTGTAACTGAAAGGGGGTTTGTAGGCTATTTTGTCCAACAATGTGTGCTACACAAGAAATTTGGGGTAGAGTATTCCTAACAAAAGGCTGGCTGGTCTCTGCTTACAAACCTTCAGCAAGAGGACCATCAGTAAGTAATTAATACTTAAAAGTAATTAGTTCCATTGTTAAACTGTCCTTCCTGTGAACAATGCTCAATGGAAATCTTTGCTCTCTTCTGTATGACAGCCCTTCGATGTTTGAAGAGTGCTATCATGTACCACCTTGTCTTTTCTTGTGTAAGTTTTTCAGTTTGCTTGCTTGCTTGATTTATACCCTGTCTTCTTACAAATTCAAAGCGGTTTACATCATTCTCCTGCTGCTCTCAATCTTATCCCCACAACAACAACGCTGTGAGGTGGTTGGGCTGAGAGTCTGTGACTGGCCCAAAGTCACCCAGTTGGCTCCATGGCTGAGCGGGGACTAGAGCCCAGGTCGACTGAGTCGCAGTCCCATGCTCTTAACCACTGCACCACACTGACTCTCAGTTCCTTCAACCATTTTATTTATTTATTTTATTTATTAAAACATTTTTATGCCACCCCATTCGCCGAAGCCTCGGGGCGGCGTACAACAATAAATAAAACCAATAAGTTAAAATATACATATAAAATAATCATAATAATTTAAAACACACATTATAAAATAAGCCGCCCTGGCCAGATAAAATTCAGTGGTATTAACATTTAAAATGTTGCTTAAATAAAAAGGTCTTTGCCTGGCGCCGAAAAACAAATAACGACGGTGCCAGGTGGACCTCTCTGGGGAGCGCATTCCATAACTTAGGCGCCACCACTGAGAAAGCCCATTCCTCATAAGACTCAAGTTTTCCTGACTACATTCATCCTGACCACCTTTGTTGCCCCCTTCTGAACCCATCTACATTTATCTCTCTCTTCCTTGAAGTACAACATCCAGAGCTTCACACAATGCCCAGGATGAGATCTGACTAATGTGGGATAAAATGGAGCTATTACTTCCTGTGACCTTGAAACAATGATTCTATAAATGCAGCCAAAACCTTTTTGCTAAATTTGAAAAAAAAATCTGGATGTTTGATGGAGGCAGCCTGGGGAAATTATGAATTCTATCTGGTGGCATGAAAAGTAGCAAGAAAGGAAGGACAAACAGGAGTGGAGCTCTTTTAAATGGCACTTTTTTCAATTATATTTATAATATTGATGACCTGGGTTGTAATCCCTACTCAAGCAGTCAGCAACTAGAGGACCCTTGAACATTTTAAGCCAAAACATTGAAGACCACATGTTGCCCACCCCTGCCCTTTCAAGCAGGTTGTAATTGTATCTACCCTTACTTAGATACCCTTACTCCAACTGAGTTCAGTAGAGTTCCTTTCCAAGCCAATATTCCTAGGACTGCAATGTGAGTGGTTCTACCCAGTCACTATGTCTCAATCCAACCTACCTAAGAAAGTTGCTGCAAGTACAAAATGCAGCAATCCTAGGTGTATTGTTCTGTACTACTTTGATAGCTGAGGTCCATTTAGGTAGATTGAAACAGGAAGTTCTTCAAGAATGTATAATTCCCAATATTTTGTTAGTTGAACTAGTCTAGTGTCCATATGCCCGCTCCCTTCAGGGGGAAAAAAATACGTTAGTAAGGCTGACTAGAACCCACATCGCAGAAAGGAACTCAAGAGAACCCAACTCAACAGAAGCGATTTTATTTTCCCCCCCCAGAGGGATTTGAGGAGGAGGGGGCAAATCTGGCTCTATTTTTTAAAAGTGACTCTTAATTATTATTTACACCAGATCGCATTTTATCTAAAAATGAAATGTTTGTGCCTTGTTTCATAAGGATATGATCTGCTTTTGCATGGTGAACAGATGCTTAATTGGTGGCAGAGCAGGAGAAAGAAGAGCAAAGCACACCCAAATGCTAATACGATAGCACATTGCTGGCAGGTGACTAATGAGTAGTAGTGGGTTTATCAGGTGTTACTAATAGCTTGGCTCAAATCTGTGGCACAGAAATCTGTTGTGCTCTGCTCAAAACATATGCTGTGTTTCAGATAGCAAATCTGATTTCACCCACTCTTCCCTGAAAAAAAATAGGCTGCAACAAAAGGGTTGTGCCTACAGGTTGCCAGCTGACCAGGGGAAAACACACTCACTCACTCTCCCCAGTTTGCTCTTCTATGTTAATACTAAACTTAAGTTGCAGATACCACATCTGATGGAGGTGAACTCTGCAGATCAAGCTGGTATTAAAAGGTTCAGTTTTGGGGGTTGGCTGAAAATTGGGGATCTTCCTTGTGGCACACCACTGTTTCTATTTCAAGCTTCAGTGGTATGGAGAGCACAATCCCTAACAACATTTAGTGACTTGCTCTTGGATTTATCATAGTTACCAATCATAGTTTTATTATACATTTTATAACAACAGCAGCAAAGTTCTTACTTCCAGGCAAATATCTTTAGAATCAGGGCCACACAAGCAAACACTATTTTATTCCTGTAACCACGAGAGATCTATGATTACAACATGAACCTGCATGTGCTCAGAAAGAAAAAAAAATCAAGTATGCTTCCTCCTCTTCTTGAAAGTATCAAGTGAGGAGTG